GCCGGCTAAAGCCGAGTCTTGCATTCCAACGGCGGGCTTGAGGCTCTTGCCATGTAGTTATACGGGCTTTGATTCGAGCCTTGACATCTGGGCAGAGACCGGTCCATGTTTCTACCCCCATTCCACCAATGACCACAAACACCTACGTATGGAGCGGTTTGATATTATCAATCAATCTGCCAAGTTGCGGCCCCATCGCAAGATCAGTCAATAACATTCGATTCCTTAATATTTTAGCAGGTTCACCTGACTCTCAGCCGCTGCGGATAAATCGTGCCGATAACTAGTGTACACCCTTTAGGCCTTTATAGTCCCCGCACTTGCAAGTCTTTTACGGCTCCCCCCGCCGAGGAGCGGATAATATCCACTAATTTTGCTGAGCAATCTAACCTGCTCCGTAGCCGAATAGTCCCGCCAGTGACCCGTCCATAAGAGCGGCTTGATCATATCGCTCTAGGCTAGTGGGCTGTAGAGGCTTGCAGGCACTGATCCAATTAATAACCTCGCCAACTTTCATGATGAAGCGGTTGTCAGAAGTCAAGTCTCTCGGTGCTTAGCCCGTGCATCTTTCTGCACGAGGGACCGGATACCGCGGGCTTAGCGGAGACTAAGTGAGTCGTAGCCAAGAGCATGAGTCTGTGAGACTGCAGAAGAATACTGCAGAGAAAGGGGGAAAGCGCGTGAGAATGCGTAAAAATAGTCCTCGAAGTAGTCAAATTATCAAGTCTTGCATTATTTGTCATTTTCCGGGATAGTTACCTAGGTACGTAGTATGAAGACGACTAGGTATATAGTTTGCTGGTTTCGACCAGTAGTAGGCCGGTAATATATGGTTATGTTGGTTGGGCGGGGAATAATGGCAGGGACTATGGCACGCCTAATCCTTGGACTGGAGATTCGCGCTCAACTACTCGCTGCTCGATGGCCCGGATCGTTTGGTGGAATGTGAAGAGCTAAATTAAGACGGTTAGGCGGGATATTTACTTTGGGGTGGGGTTGCAAAAAGGGAACCAAGGAGCAGATTTGGAAGGACACTGGCCTGCCCACGAATTTCAGAACAACAAACCCATCTCAAGGCTAGAAATAATTAAGGCTGCAGATGCATGAGCGGATTATGGGTATTACAAAGAAGAGATCATAATGACTCATGACAGGTGGGGCTGGTCAGATTCACAACCATTTTCGCCCTCCACCGCCCTGGAAGCAGGCTTCTAGATGCTGAGTGGAAGGGCTGGCTGACAAGTCCAGCGCATCTCCCTACACTGAGTGGTTCAAACCCCTGCCAGATGAGATCGGACCCAGTAAACCGGCAAGGATCTTCGTAATCACCAGCGGTGAGATGAAGATTCATAATCACTGCTCGACGTCCAGGATACAGTAAAATTGTATATCTTCCATTTTTGCTCATTGCGTTACACAAACGGTACGATCTTGGCTAAGGAAAACAGGGAGAAACAGCAGCCTTTCGGTCTCCAAATTAAGTATTAGTTGTACATGAGATGCATGGAATTGTCAAGGGCTCGGCAATCAAAAAACATGATTGGCAGCCGCTCAAACACATCCTGCCGAATTGAGTAAATTTAAACAGCGCTAAAAAAAGAACCAATGAGCTATGGTACTACTACCTTGTCTCAGCCCTACAGGTGGAGCTTCAGGGATATACTTTGCGGGCAGCTTGCGGTCTAGCGGACGAGCTACTGAGCTAGTCCGGTATTGAAGGTTTAGGCGAGTCTTAACTCTTAAGAGTCAATTGCCAAGAAATTGATAAGATATTATCTAAGACTTTGAAACATTAAAAAAATGACAAGATTGGTCTACTCCTCCATTTCATGCTAGCAATATTATACACGAGCTGAACATCCTTCCCCTTTAGGAATAAAACTACGCAATTAAATTGGTATGCAATGATTTTTGTTCTACCAAAAATTACAGATTTGTTTTGAAGAAGAAAAATACGATGAATAAATAACTAGAAGTATAGAGATTAGCGAATCAATGTGAGGGATGATACTGATGGAGGGCAGATACTAAACCGGCAGTCGTCCGTCAAATTGCTCATTCCTTTATGAGCCTATCTTGCACGAGCCTAAAAAAAATAAAAATAAAAATAAAAATAAAGAAAAAAATAAAAAAAAGTCCGAAAGATTGGCCGGAGCCATGTGGCCGGCAAGGCTGTTTGCCTGTGACACAGTGATTCGAGAGCTGATTGTGTAATGGAACGTCAGATGATTAAGTCACTGCCTCTACACTGCGCCTGCATTCCAGAAGCTGTTTCTCATTTGATTTCTCGTTCCCGGACCATACACTAAGGATGAACAGAGGTCAAAGATGCTTCAGTTGGCTAGATTTGCTTCGCAGATCAGCTCCATATTTCTCGTATCCCAAACGCACGTTGCGAGAGAGCCAAATTGTCACAATCATGGAAAACAACCCATACGCCATACCCGTCTTTACCCACCTGGCTGGAGAAAGGGTGAGATCCTTATCCTTAGTTTATTGCCAAGATCTAGGGGTTACAACGTGGCAGAAGTCGAGACCGTGCGTCACGCCGTCAGATGTAATTTTACTCTGTAAATCTAGATCACTCTACCTTCACAGATTTAGATTCTTTCCGAGGCCTTTTTAGCTCAGGCGTCACTGGTACAAGGGTGCAAGGGGTGTCTTGAATGTAAGAGCAGTCCATAAACGGAAACTGGTCTAGACGGCGCGACAGGCTGCCTTCCACTGGCTATTCACTTAAATAGGTACCCACAGGGCGCTGTCAAATCAATCTAGTAGTCGAAGACTAGTAGTATTCGTAGTACATGAGTGAATTAGTAGAGGCTCCAAGCCTCCAAGAGCCAAACATTAAATGATCTGGACACGCGGCTAGAACGGAAATAGTGGGATTGATGGTCCAACTACCCCCTACGATCATTCCCTTCGAAATTGGGGGCTATATTGGAGACATGGAGTGTTACTCAATCCAATTCGCGTAATGTATGTATTTCATGTAAAATTAGAACTCAGTTCTGACAAGCACGTGGCGGTATGGTTGATAATTGACTCGGAGTTGGAGCCCGTCATGTACCTTTGACGCTTGCACGGAGTGGTGCAATGCAAAACGCTGGATACCATTTTTGACAAGGGAGAGAAGTTACCTTAATCGCTTCGAGGCATAGAGAACATTTCTATATACATAGGGCTACCCGCGCCCCTGAAAAAGAGCGTACCGAGAACCGAATGAGACATACAAGATTGGAGAAACCGCAATAAAAATTGATGATTAATAGAGCAAAGGTTAACTTAACTTGGATTGATTTAGGGAGGGTCACCATTATTGGGAGCCGTCATAACTACCATCCATTAATATCCATCTGTGCAACAGTACCTCTAATAATACTATGCTAGTAGGAATACGGTCATCTACTCTATCCAGTCACAATCCATTCCTGTATGTTGACTCCATTCAGGCGCCCCCAACGGCAAGCCACCCAACATGTTCTAGGGTCGCTTGTTTCATATTCAATGAGCAGCACTATGGGACACATATCCTATTTTCTTAACTCAAAATAAAGTAGAATGAATGCCACGGGATCTGTTGTATAGGAGCCTTTAGTTATTATTCAGCCAAGCCAAATCAGTAGTTTGTATCAAAGCCATATTGGAGAATCTATCAAAATCCAGTGGTACACTGCTTCTCCATCCAGCTATACTCTAGCAAAATTCTTATCAGTCTCATAACGTCCATGGTTTCCGTCCAAAAAATACCATCTTTCTGATGGTCATTGATCCCAGCCTCTAAGAATGAGGGGTGCAAGTTAGATAAGAGATAAACCGTCATCGGGGCCTCTTCTGGGTTAGTTTTTGCGAACTGCATGGCATGGTATCATGGTTTTGATTGGTATTGTGCCTCTGCAGCTCGGGAAAGGAGCAAAATCGCCAGATCAAGTAATCATAATGCGCCATGCTTCTATTTCTGAAATACTCTAGAAAGAATGTTGCAGAACGCATTTACTGTGAATTAAATTATTGAGCCCCTGATGTAGACCCTCAGCATGGTCTGGATATGGAGTACCTACAGTAGTGATTCATACCTCTGTTGGAATGTGGATTGATTGTGATACCTTGAACCACATGGCCATGATTAGTGGTCAAACCTACCCTATATCCTGGGCTTGGTTATTGGGGGTTGAGAGAAAGGTAGACTGTGGTAGCCTTGGGGGAGGGTGGGGGGCGGTAATCCATAGACTATGTTGTCCTTCCTCCACACTCCATGTCCATCCCTCGATTCAGTAGTGTTATTACTCATTCTTCCTGGTCGGCAATCGGCCTGATCTCTAAAACAGCCTCATGCACTTGACATTCCTTCAGCCCAGCTGGCCGACCAGGTCCATTAGTCGTGACGCAGCCTTGCACATCTAGTCTTCCATTCAGGGAGGGTTCCTTACCAACAACACATGGTTCCAGATCCATGCCATGACCCCCTAGAAGACTAGCGGGTATTTCCAGTTTCCACGGTCCCAAAAAATAATAATCAATGAATGGAAATAAAATAAAACCAATAAACATATTACTCAACAATTGAAAATCATTTATTTTCATTTTCATTTTTTTTTAATAAAGCAAAATTAATTCTCGGAGCTCGGACTTGAGTTGTTATCTACGATTTGATTCATCATCATGGATTGGTTTCGGTCCGGATACAATGGCGGCTTAGCAGCCCATAGCCAGACGCCTGATTCTCCAGCTGATCGACCTTTAGGCTCAGACTTCTTTTAAATACTTTGATGCTTCCTGTTCCTTCTGATGGATCCTGTCTGTTGATTCTCAATTACCGGTTGCAACTTTATCATTAGTCTACGTTCTATTGGTATAGATCACTCAAACGCTCCTAGGTTCTATGCTCTGTCTGAGCTTCGGTTAAACTTCCCAAACCATCTTGACTTTATACTTCCTGCCATCTATACTTGCTACTGCGCCTTTAAATTGCTGAACATACCTTCTTCTTCCCGCTCAAGATGCATCGCTCTACGAACAACTCGTACCATCAGTCTTCGAGCTCCCGAAGCTCGTCCACCCACGGTTCCAGCAGTGCTTTCAGTCCCAATGCCAACCCTAACGAGGACTGGACAAAGATCTCAGATCTTGCTGAACGTCGACGGATACAGAATCGCATTGCTCAGAGGAACTACCGTAAGTAGCTTCCTTACTAACTGACTGGCGCTGAAAATGTGTTCTGACAATCTCCGGATGCAACAGGCAAGAAACTGAAGCGTCGCTTGGAGGACCTGGAAAAGAGGGCTGCCTCTGCTTCAGAGTCGCCAGAACGGTCCCACGAGAAACCGGAGTTGCCGAAGCATGCGAATCCTGTCAAATCTCGCACCAGGACTAACCGCTCGTCCAAGTCAAACTCGGAGACCAGTCACAGCTCCAGAGAACGCCTTCCTCTTTACGACTGCTACAATAGCCAAGACGACCGGGGTGCCATGTTCTCTCACCAATGCACAAGGCAACTGTCAGCGTCACCCCCACCTGTGTTCTCATACCCCTCGTATCCGCACCTGGACCCATACAGACAGGCCAGCTATGGCACCTCTCCCGCATACAGTTCGACTTACAGTGACTTGTCGTCCTTCCAAGGGGAGTATGGCACCCCAGTGCCTTCGATCATGCCTGTTGCGATGTCTGCAGGCGGGCCACTGAAGAGGCCACATACATATGCGGACGAAGAGATCATCAGTCCCTTTAGTATGAGCTACGCGACTATGGCCGGCATTGACTTATGTCCGACTTCTCACCACCCCGGTGAATCTAATATCTCTGTACGTAAACTGTCCTCTGGCCTGCGTCGATATCATTCAAGCAAAGAGAGGAGTAAGAAAGCTGACATATGGTTCATTAGATCCCATCTCTCTGTCAATTATTTGCTGAGGATCACTCCTCTCCGTCGACACCCGCAGAGACGTCCATTCTCACGTGTCCTCTCACACCCGAGTCCGACCCGTGCTCCCCGCATTCGTTTCCCTTTCTGTGATTGAGCTGTCGTCGCTTATTTGAGTCGTTGAATTACCGAATTTCTTTTTAATGATGTTACGATACGCTTGGCCGAATGGGAGCTATGAACATTCGGGTGTTACTCTCCGCGGCAATCTTGGCTTTTTTCTTTCGTGGCTCATTCTGGACTGTTTTTCGTTTACGGGCTGAATCGTTCTGCTCGGAGAAGATCTCCTATCATATGACGGTTTCTGGGCTTTCGGATGCCCATGTGGTGATGCATGACTCGGGGCGTTCAATGTTTTACATCAAGAGACGGAAGTTCATCTTAGGAGTTGGAATGGGAAATGGCAGCAATGCTGGGTTGATTCACTCTTTTCTTTGTCCATCCACCTTTTGCTCGTTTCCGTCTTTCGGTTCCACTTGGATTTTATTAGAATACCAAATGACATTGTAACCAAACAATTGGCCGTTACTCTAATCATCACGGCTGCGGAGTTACGGCATGTTGATGCTCCGACTCCAGGACTGTGGGTCGTATGGTAAATCTGGTATTTTGGACGTATTTGCCCGTAACGTTTTTTGGCCCCCAAATCTCCACAAAGTGCACCGACCATACTCCTAATCGGTTAGAGGCAATTCTTGGGCTTTTCGAGTGAAAGGATGCCATTTCCGCGCTATTCGTCTCGAACTTCCAATGAATACTCTCCCTACTCTACTCCATATATCACTGAACGTGCACAATTCTTTGGCTACATTTCTGGCCGCGTGCTCCAAAAGGATCAAGGTCCCAGTCAATAAATAAATAACATACACTATAATCACAGGGACAATGGCTGGGTTTGGCTGGACCGGAGCGAGTTTCCGGACGATTGTCGATACTGTACTTCTACGGAAATAGTCCGCAAGTACCTACTCAAATTGCCAGGCAAGACTACGACAGGCGAGAATACGACGGTCCATCCGACGCAATCCGTTTTACACCTGATAGGGAGACCGACGACTCAGTGGTTACGGTCCACTGCAGCTTTCCAGTGCCAGGGTCAGAGAAAATGATTGGCTTCGCGCTGGAGATTGCGTTGATTCGTTCCCGCTGTCCCTCCTTCTCTGTTGCCATGCGATAGAAGCGATTCTTAATACCCTGGCATTATTATTTTCTTCGAAATTGACTCGCGACAGCTGCCACGGGCCAGTTGCTGGTTGATTCTCAGTGGGGCTCTGCGCAAGTATGTACCAAGTATGAACCGTCTAACATGCTGCGCCTCCACAGCTCCAGCCTGATGTGGTACAGTGCATTGGTCAACGAGACACGGACCACTGGCAAGGGGAATCAAGCGAATTCGGGGGGCCTTGTACGTCGTGGGCTGTTGCTTTGAACTGGGATCAATTGACCTTGTGCTACACCCATGAAAAGCAGGTGGACGATGTCCTGCTCCCTTTCCGTGTAAGGCAGGGAGGCTGGAGCAATTCAGACACTCAAGTTACAACTGACAATTGGCAACTAATTGTCCGCTGCTGGAGCTATCCTACTGAAGGATTACTCATCAATCGAAGATGCGTCTTGATTGATAATCTCATCGAGACAGGATGGGATCATTCTTCCACCTGTCGGTCCTGCACGCTCGAAGAGGCTAGCGATTCTACAGAGTAGTTAATTCTTATCTCGACCTGACGGCGCATATGCGGATGCCTCTGCACAGAAATGGAACCACATGAGAAGAACAATGATTTCTAATCCCTTCGTCTAATTGTCGATTCTTATTCTGCCCTTTACAAGAGCTGTCTTGAGGCTTCAACTCGGACCACTCAGGGGCACAAAAACAGCCAAATTTGCACTCTTGGTCCTAGCTATCAAACTACTTTCGATCTTGCCTAGGCTGCAATATTGTTTGGGGACGATCGGACTCCATACTGGAAGCTGCGGAACGGATACCATTCACCATTTCGAGTAATTGCTGGGCGTTGAGACAAGGTAGTACATCCATCAGGCGCGGACCAACCAAAGTGTGTCAAGACTGTTAGTCTGTTAGATACGAGCTCGCTTCTGGTTGTGTCCTCCAACTCGGCTACGAGCATAGTGCTTTCTCAAACGGAGTTGTCCGTGGACGCTGCAGAGTGGACACACGAAACGAAGATCCTTTGATACCTGCCGTTTGATTGACCAACGACTAGACTTGGTCCTCCGTCGGGTCTTCAGCCTTACACTGTATGTCTGTGCGGATCATGCGGAGTGAAAGTGACCGGCAGGCATCAGCAGCAGTAAATCGTCAGCCGTCAGCACATCTCAGCCCTGATTTAGCCGTCTGTCCATGACAGTCTGACGATTCCTCGTTGTCGGATTTAGACATCCAGCTTACGATTTAAGCTCGCAAAACTGAATGCTGACGATCCGCTCTAGCGCTTTTTTTCTATTATTTTTCCTTTTTCTCCCTTTAGACTTATCTAATACGACCCTCATTGCTGGCGTCGGGCTGAACGAACGGCCGATCCAAATCCCGGGGCTCCATTGAAGCCGCGATTGATAGATCCCGTACCATGTTATGAGACCCTTCCAGCCCTCCACAATCAAAAGAAAAAAGGCAAAAAAAAAAAAAAAGAGCAAAGGGCAAAATAAAAATAAACTGATTGACACAGTGCCACGGTGCGATAAAAGGGCGTGTTACATTCGTGTCGTTCAACACGGTTACATGAGGAACTCAGCCAATCGTTTCAGGTAGCGAGACCCCAAACATCTGGACTCGTATACGGATAACCAGTAGAGAGATTGAATTCTCTGTATTGGCTTCAGGGCCCCATACTCACAGTGAAACAAGTGCCAGGCAGCAGATCAACTGCATACATTATTGTCATTGTGTAACCCAAAGCGGCTCTGAGGAACCTCGTCCATTCGACAACCTTCACTCGACCCCTCCCAGACCGAAAGGGTTAGGATTAGGAATTAGGTAGGGACAACACGACTTTCCAAGACTTGGTTACGGTTAATGTGAGACAGATCTCAAGATAGGTGAACAACTAGCGAGGTATGCAAACAAAGAAACCCAACACCATCACAGTGTCACAATCACGACCTAGAACTATCCATGGCACGCTTGTGCCCCATCCAACCTTGATCAAGTCCTAGTCTAGACGGAGGCTACGGTCCTATGGACTACGGAGACGGAGCCCACTGGTACCGACGGCGAAAGCCGAGCGAGCCCCACCCCTTGCATGGACGGAATATGCAGCAAGAGCAAATAGATTGTGCCAGTCCCTTGGCATTCGTTCACTTCTCGACCACCAAATCCGATGATTGATGAACGCAATCCCTCACGCAGATGACTATTGACACGGTGACAGTCACAGTGACAGTGAGAGTGACCATGCGAATAGGAAATGCTTCGTGAGGAATGATGTTGGCTCCGAATCATCTGATGCTTTCTATCTGCATTGATTTCAAATGATGACCAAGCATCATCCCAGGGGTATCTTCCTTCACATTGAATATTGCTCCCTCCTCGAGATAAGAGTAACTAATGGGTCCAATGTCCACTGAGTAATCACTGAAGATTACGACGTGCTCAACGACCATCGCAGCCGCCATTGACTAACAGGTGCAGGCGCCCATTATTGCAGCAGAAGGGGTGACTGACCTCCACGAGGGGAGCCGGTGCATGGTTAGATAGAAGACTCGCACAATTTGAATTCGTCCATCAGTTTCTTACTGTGGCACCTGTATACCTGTATGAGACTTGGGGTGGGATGTAGTCCAAACCAACTCTAGGAGAGATTAACTCAAATATTCACTGCAACATTCGAGGATCCCCGCCTCTCAAGATTTGATGCTACAGGGCCAAACTTTGTAAAATAAAGACAAGTCCATAGATTTTCCTTCTGTACTGTATTGGATTCGATAGGCTGTATATCATGAAGACAAAGAAAATAAAAGTCAACGACGCCTTGATGCAGGTCAAAAAGATCGAGAAACAAAGCCTTAGGTTCCCCCGGTATTAGAGAGGTCATTCGCATGAGCAGATGAGGTTTGTTGAGGTAGCCTCCGCACGCGCACACACGCGAAAACATCAGTAGATTTGAACCAACATGGTGAGAAAAGCAGATAAATGAAAATGGAAAGAAAAAGAAAAGCCTTAAGCGATACAGTCCCTATCCACATCACATTAACAAAACCCCAACCATCGGTAGCACAGCTCGATCAAATCGTCCCCCTTCAACCTCCCGCAGGATCTATCAACCTTCCGCCCCGTTGATGCTCATCTGATCGGGATTATGCCGCCGTCTCCGCATGGGCGCTTTTTTCCTGGCTGCGATTACGGCTGCATTCTGGGCTTCAATGTTCATCTCGGTATCGCCGGCATCGTTCGCTGAACCGTGGATGGCCGCGTACTGCGCCAATTCGTCCAACTCCCGGATATCCGTCGGCTTCATCCGCAGCCACTTCATGCGCGGACCAACTCTGGATCGCTCCGAAACGCGGAATCCGTAAATCTTCGACTCGTAAATCCTACCTGGTCCCAGGCCGGGGCAGAAGTTGACCGTTCGCACGCCGTTGATCTCCGTTGGCTGGTTCGGCGGCGGCGGCAGATCGGGGGTCGCGCGGTTGACCCCAGACGTCAAAGACGAGGATCGAGACTGATTGTTTGCATTCGTAGGGGCAGCGGTTAACATGGAGGGATCCAGGCGGGGCCCAATGTCCAGGTCGGGGAAGGTCATGAAGAAAAGGTATCCGAACGTGGTCCCGAAGAAGGCCCCATCGACCGAGTGAAAACGACTGTTGGGCGGAGTGTACAGATCCTGACAACTGGGGCAAAACAGCTTCACCGTCTCTTGTCCAGGCGTGTCGGAGCAGCCCACGGGCAGGACCTTGCTTCCATTGCAGTAGGCGCGCGGACAGACACCAAAGTGCTGCATTTCGTACTTCTCCAGCATTTGCTGGATTCCCGGTCTCGAAGTGATGTAGCGCTGGTGGATGAGGCCGTAGAGCAGTTCCGCAGAACTTTCGATCACACTCAAGTCGCTGGCCACCCGCGCATGTCTCCGGTCGCCAGCTCTGCGGTAGCCCGGGGGTCGCTCATCACCGAGAATCTCGTCATCATCCTCCTCCTCTTCCTCTTCTTCCTCCTCCTCATCTTCGTCCTCCTCCGGTTCCACATCCAGAATCATCTCGAGCGCCTCCTTGTACATGGGCACCTGCGACTGCAGACCCGTAAGATTGAAGTCATCCTCGATAAAGTCCTCCGACACCTCTGCGAAGAATTCGTGGCCCATCAGCGAGCAGAAGGAGGAGATCCATGACTCCGGCGCCCCTTCCGAAGACGACATATCGAACGAGCCGGACTCGGATGACGACGAGGCTGACGATTCAGACAGTTGACTCAGATCCAGCCTGTTCAGGCCGTCGGCCAACGCCGAACCTATCTCTCTCGACACGTTGCCGAGTAGCGAAACGGAAAACGATGGATCGAACGAAGACGGAAGCGCTTCGCTTGGATTTCTTCGACCCTGGTCGATCGGGCACAGACCTCAGCCCAATTGCCTCGGATGATCGAGGTCGAAAGAGTCGTAAAACCAAGATGGACCGTGACTCGGTCTGGGCTTGGTCGGAAAATCAGGAAAGAGGTCGGGTCTGTCGTCTACCTGATAATTGGAGGGGTCATCCCAATGTGCGGGACGGCGAATCGTTGTGCGATGAGGAAGTGTTGACGCGATAGCGCTTGAAGGTGGAACTTCCCCACTAACACTACCGTACTGCTCTCAAACAGAGATTGAGGTCATCCGTCGAGTTCTAGGGTATAATTCTAGCAAATTTCACCCGTAGTGAGCGACCAACACAATCGATTGTAGAGCGTAAATACCAGACCTCTCTGGTCACTTTCTTTGTGGTGGTGCGGTGGTCGATCGACGGCGTCGAGGGGGTCCCGAGTTTAGGTTCGTGGGGCGGTAGGAAAAACGTCGCTGTTATCTCTGCGATGATCGAGAGGACTTGACAGCTGTCGCAAGACGGAAAATGTGTAAAAAGTGGCTTGCCTGTGTGCGTGAATTATGTGGTCACAATATTGTGATTAACACTGACGTTAAAAACCAATGCCCCTGATGTGGTGCTCGTCCTGCGTTGAACGTTCATGTGGCTGGATTTATTCTGGTCACGTGCATGATTCACTCCCAGGCAATTTGGCTCATCCGGCACGCCTACATCTACAGTGAATATCATCTGGAAAGCGAGCTGATTGCATCCAAGTCATTATATTCCCATCATAAATTCCCGGTTTATCGTCATAGTAGCCTCCGGCTGATATACATGATGCATGCCGTGTAATACTGTCAAGAAATCAAAAGAGCTCTCTGATGATCCGGGACAGCTCGCCATCATCGCCAAAAATGCCTGAAAGTCCCTCGCCCGTGTTTTGAAGCTCTCCATCATGACTTACAAACCCGGGTATACCTTCGGGTGCTGTACCAGATGCAATGAAGCTGCTAAATCCTCCAACAGCCTCGAACAGGTTGGTGAGCTCTTGACTCATCTGCAGTCCGTTCAAAGGACTGTTTCCCAGTTCATTGACCCCGTTCATCGGTCCATAGACAGACAGATTCTCGATTGAATGGCCCGCCAGGCCCGCCATGGCGACAGCAGCCGTTGAATGGGGGTCGTTCGAGTCCGAGCCGAACGGGCGCGCCAGCACTCCCAGCCGTTCCCCAATCATTCTCAACCCCTTGATCGTCTTCCAGAGCCGCTTTGATACGTAAGATTTTGTACTGAAACCGTTGATCAGATCGAGTGCCATGTAGAACTCATCTCGCACCTGGCGGTTGAATTCGTTTGGCGCATGACATACAGCCAGAAAGAGCACCGCGAGAGCGGCGACAAGGAAGTAGTTGAAGGTAATTTGTTGAGTGCGGTATATGTCAGACGTATGATTAAGCTGAGTGAGCACTCGCACTGTATCTTTGGCGACATCCACCACAGTTTGAGCATGACCTTTGTCTTCGGCGATACTCGCAGAAGAATGTAGTACGGGCCGATAGATGAGAATCCGAAGCTGATTCATGCGCAAGTACAGCAGCACCCGTAGTCGCCGCAAACCCCGGCTTGCCGTCTCGCCATGCTTTGGAGAGTCGCCAGGATAAAACTTCAATGCATCGGGAACCTGCTTGTACCACTGGAGAACCTGGTAGTCCAGATACCCGATCTCATCCCTGCGTATGTCTGTCGTGCCCTCAGAGCCAAGTCCGGAATACCATATCTTTGAGCTTATACGATTATATGAGATCATACACCTCAAGTAAGGCAGCGATCCGTCCTAGACCTGTTAGTCAGACATGCATGACGCGTTGTCGTTCCTGACTTTCGACTTACAGGCTCAGGGAGGTTAGGGTCGACATCCTCATCTTGAATGACAAAGGGCAGCCCGGTACCAAGACTCCAGCGTCTATCCAAACTGTAGATTGTCCAGAAGATCTTGGTGACGTCAGCCCATTGATCCTCGTTCGGAAAGGATTTCATCAACGCCTCCCGTCGGTGCAGACCCAGTTCAAGGCACATACGTGCAGCGAATCCTATCACTCGGTAGGCCATCGCATCGTCATCCGTGTGGAAATGGTAAGTTGCCTGTCAGAACATTTAGCCAATGTCCCGGGCGGGTCGGATATCATCAGAATGACAATACATACCACCATGCCAAAGAGCTGGATGGTCTTGATGTCGATCGGTCCCCAAAGCTTAGCCTCAATGACTGGCTTGACACTCAAGAAAAGACGTTGGCCCAGATCACTTCGCCCGCTCCCCTCCACAATCAACGTTATGGCGAGAATCATCTTGAGGATAATTGTATTATCATCGTGGAGAGAGTCTGAGCCCGGGAATGCTCGCTGCGCGAAGCCAGTTCGCATTGCAGCCTCCATGAATGTATAGAGGAGGTTGACTTGATTGGTGACCTTCTCAATATCCACAAGCGGATACATAATACCGACTTCTTCCTCATAGACATGACAGAGTCGTAGAGCTTCCTCCCGTTTGATTGCCCATATTGGATCTTTGGTTGGATGTATGGGCTGTGTGAATACAGCCTGCTGAGCAGGCGGCGATGCGGCCGGCGTGGCTTGGGCCGTTGTCAGGTCGTCATTCATGACTTCTTCGGCGGGTGCAATGCCCATGTTCTGAAGACTGGATCTGGCGACATCGAAATTGAAGGCGGAGCTAGTGGGACCGTGAAACCGCAGATGTCTTACGCGAGGTCTGACGGTAGCTGCGTGCATCGGCGTAAAGACCGACTGTGAGCCATCCCGAGAGAGGTCCTCCAGATTCGGCGAGTCCAAAGATGATCTTTGATTCCGAAGATCGTTCAGACTAGTGAAGAGACTGTTTACCTGTTCCTGCAGAGTTGTGATCTGGTCTTTCATCGAACGGAACTCCCTGTCCCGTACCACACTTGTCAGTCGCCTTACTGAGAGCAAAGTAAGCCAGACCAAAGACAAGGGAGATAGAACATACTCGGAATCCTTGAAGTTATTGTTACAGCAATTGGGGGCGTATCGGCCTATCGCACAGTCATTTTCTCTCCATTGAAAACTCAAACGTCATAGAGCGATGAAAACAGCCGGATGAGCCATAGTACTGACACTCGAGTTTCAAATGGCCACAGCGCTGGCATGGCACTTGACCGTTGCACTTGATCTTGCGTCGCTTACATTCATTGCTATAGCAAAGACCCACGTTAGTCAAACCGTACTCAGTTCCATGGCTGTATGCCAAGTATGACGATAATCATCATGAATTTACAGCCATCCACAAAGGCAAGCATGGGGTAAATTCGGAATTTCCTCAGCTGGGATCATACCAGGCAATTGAGATGTAGCGATTCCGCTTTGTGCGCGTGTGAGTTCCGTTGCTCTGTTCCGCTTTCCTCTTTGCGCTGTCCTCAGCCGGGCTGGCATTTTGGTCTGCTTTTCCCGCCTGAGGGGTAGCAATATCGACATGGGATGACTCGGAAGCCATGTCAGATGCGGTCAGTATGGCCTGATCGCGTTGTTCTGCGCAGGATAAGGCAGCGAAGAGTGCGGAGAGATTCCTTTCATGCTGCCGCGGTGTCTTCATGGCCGCGCGGGGTTTCCGTTTCCCCAGAATCTTTTGAGCCAATCAGCGCAGACCCAGAGTAACATAGCACATCTCTCAATTACAATGGGTAGATAGATAGATTATCTTTTATGACGGCCATAAAAATATATTTGCAATTCAAGAATCAGCAAGCGCTAGCTGCGATAGGTCATTTCTAATGCCAAAATCAATCACGAAAGCATTCGACGAAAGCGGAGCAAACCCTCTCGGATAGCTGAGACTATTGTAGTTCGGGCTCCACTAAACAATTCGACCAGCCGTTGAGTATCTTTGGGATGCATCTTGAGCCAGCACAGACCGGAAATGATTGCCACGAGTGCAAATCTCCTCAGCACGGTCTTCATCCTTTCAAGCATGAGTCCCTTGCGTGTATACTTGGCTGTCCAGTGGTGCCACATAGGAAAGGTGCACCTGAGATAGTAGTCGATCTGAGTAAATCTAAACAAGGTTATCAGCGGGCGTCTTCTGTCAGTCGTGACTTAATCTAGTTGGGGAAGACTCACGGATAGGTGGACGAGTTCCAACCTTCATCAGTTTGGTACCAGCTTGTGCAAGCTCCGCGTCGAAAGACGGTGCCCTGAAGACTTCTCTGTACTTTGTCCGTCCAGTCGCGCTCAGCATTCTCTTTCACCTCGAAACAGCTGACACGTCCCTCAAGAATGGGTTTGATGAAGTTCAGAGAGTAATTGATGGCATTCTCGACCGCGAAAATGACGCTGGTATGGCCGGTCGCTGTGTTCGGACCAAACGAAAGGAAGAGATTCGGCATATGGTCCATGGCAATGCCCAGGTAAGCCTGTGCTCCTCCACGCTCCTCCCAAATCTCGTCAAGGGTTTTCCCGCGCCGACCGAAAACCGGGAGAGGATGAAGGAATTTATTAGTCTCGTATCCGTTGGCCAGAATAATGACATCCGCCGGTATCTGTCTCACCCCATCTGTTGACTCCTTACTTTCCGGCGGATAATGTCGACCAGGACCTAGTGTCACGCTTCTGGCTTGGACGCTTACCAAGGGCTTCGTCGTCAGCTCAAAATTGGGCGCATGAATGCTGGCATAATAGTTGGACTCGACAATTCGTCGCTTACAGCCCAGGCTGTAGTTGGGAATGAGTATGTCGTGATATTTCTCCGGAGCAGTCGCTCGCATGTGCTCTAGGAATTCCCTCTCTAATCTGGAACGATTCCGACGGGAATACTCATTGTCCTTGAAGACTGTGAGAAAATCCCACTCCAAGAAGAAGAACAGCAAGGCCCTTGCACCGAAAGCAAGGCCAGGGACGTTTTTGAACAATGGCGGCGTGTACTTCTCCCATTTCTTGAGCGACTTCGGCGTCAGTAAATCGGGCATGAACCAGGCAGGCGACCTCATGAGCTGCGTGATTGACTTGATCTTGTACTCGGGTTTCGTCAGCTCAGAGACTACCTGGGTTGCACTGCAGCCAGAGCCAATGATGACAACATTTTTCCCGGACAGATCAAGGTCGCTCTTCCATCGAGCTGTATGAACGACCTCGCCTTCGAACGTCTCAATCCCGGGTACACTTGCAGGCCATTTTTTAGGCTCGACAAGCACACCCACACCGCTGACAACAATCTTTGCTCGCACAATCTCTGTTTTGACATAGACACTGCGCTCGCCTTCCTTGGATATTCGCGCATCTCTTTCCCCTTCGGATAAGTCTCCAATACCAGGAACAAGATGCAATAATGTGACTTGCCACTCTTCCGCATCCTCTAACCATCGCAGTTCTTTGACAGCTGTGTTGAGTTGAATCTTGTCGACTATCTGGTATTTCTCGCAGACATCAGCCAGGTACTGAACAATCTCCGGTCCGGGGGGATGTAGCGTAGTCCAGTCTTTCTTCGGAGCAAATGAGAAAGAGTACAACAGCGCGGGCCTAATAAACACTCAGCAAAAGAGTCGCTTCGACAGAGCATAAATGCCTCGAGAGGCCCATACACATCGCATGCGGCTCCTGGGTAGCGGTTTATCCACCAAGTACCTCCGATGCCCGATTGCCTTTCAAAGATTCTGAATTGATCAAAGCCAAGAGCTTCCTTGAGTCGACATCCTGTAGCAATGCCAGACACCCCTGCACCAATTACGAGAACCGGGTAGTAGGTGTGAGCATCTTTGCCATATGAATGGCGTTTGTGGATCCTTGCCACCGAAGAGGGCATCTTGCCTGATCAAGTTGTAATAGATTTGAAGGCACAACCAGGCAATAGCAAGAAAGCATAGAATTCCTGAAAGACTTGGAATGACAGAGGTATAGACAGCAGAGAGGGCAGCCTCCCCTTCATAATTATCATTTATTCAGAGCCGAACATATTGCTTGCATGGATCTCAGGTGAGGGGAAGCCATGATCGACAACGTCACAGGAGCTGAGAGGATTGCCCTCACCTCGGTTGTTTGGTGGTTTATGAATTTCAGATCGGATCGACCGAGGAAACATTATGCTTTGTGCTCCTCACTCAGTAAGGGGAAGAGTCGAGACGACCGTCAACCGAGAATCATTGCTTTTCTCTGCAGCTAAACAGCTAGAGATCATGCGATGTTCGATAATGATGAATTTGAGTGGTCTCGTCATATTCTCCACAAAAGCAGTCAAAGGTGGAGGATGATTCGACATGGCCCCTGTATGGGACCTGAAGATCCACAGCACAAGATGATTCCCGTTAAATGTGACATGTCACCTTCATGTTGGGCTGTGTAGCCGGCACAATCCTCTGATTTCGCCTTGTGATACAGACATCCCTTGGCCCTCCAGAAAAGTCAACGACTTTCTGAAATCAACCGAAGTGGCAGCATTGGGATAATTGTTCTGGATGAAGTATCAGCAATGGCTGCTTACCCGCAATAACCTGTGGGCCCCCAAGCGACCATCACGCGTCCGCAGCAAACAATCGGGTTTGATATCGTTAATCAGCTCCAGGGATGGACGCTCGATATCTTCGACCTCTCAGAGCCGATTTCATCCCCTGAAAGCCCTCCGCGAGGTGAAAATTGATGAATTCCGCAGTAGCTACTTCCACCCAGAACTTCCGGTCCTTCTCCCCCATCGGCACTTTCGCGATCTTCCCGCATGTGAGCGATGGTTCCAAGCGGTCCCTTCCTCCAACGGCCATGACCGCAGATTAAATACGGCATATCTACAAGAGCATGGCGCGGATGCATTCGTCCCTCTCGAACTCACGCAATCGCCCGCAGAAACCACGGCGCCGGACGCAACTGTACCTGAATCGAACGAGCTGAGCTTCCGGCAGTTCCACGCCCCATTGAGTCTGTTCCTAGATTGGATGCGCACCGCAGAATTGCAGTCGCAAGCTACGCGACTCTATTTGGCGCAATGCCAGCTACTCGATCTTCCACCAGTTCTTCGCGATGACTTTCCCACCCCCGAACTCGTTCTAAAGGCGGGCAAAGGCGACGTCTACGATACGAACGTATGGATCGGGCACCCGCCTACATATACCCCTTTGCACCGTGATCCAAACCCGAATCTCTTCGTGCAAATTGCCGGACACAAGGTTGTGCGACTGTTGGCTCCCGATGCCGGGCAGAGGGTATTCGCGTCGGTCAGGCGCCAATTGGGTCGGAGTGGGGATCGCGAGGCAGCTGCTTTCCGGGGCGAGGAGATGATGCAGGGGCAGGAAAGGACTCTGCTGGAGCATGCCGTTTGGGATGATGCAGACTCGGACGGTACCAATAATGTGCTGGATGATGGATACGAAGCTCATTTGGAAGCCGGCGACGGGCTATTTATACCAAAGGGATGGTGGCATAGCATCAAAGGTGTTGGAGAGGGCGTCACTGCGTCGGTGAGTTTCGTCTACCCTCTGGTTGGGTGTGCGCTGCTCTAACCCATAAAACAAGGTCAATTGGTGGTTTCGGTAGAAGAAACTGCAAGGAATCCTAGTAATCAACTTAACTGTGCTGCATTATACCTGGAAAGTGGTTCTGTACATTAGACCTAGATTTAGATAGAAATTCATGACTATATCTGAGCATGACGCAGACTTGTGATCGTTGTCTCCAGGGCCATTCTAGAATCCTCTCCGCGGATCCACCCTCTCTCCACTTTACCTCCAAAACATCAATCTCCGCTATAATTATTCCCTCCTCTCTCAACCTACAACTCGAAGCTCCATTCTCATCGTTCAGAAATGTACACGTCGCTCAAAGCCATATCTCGCGCTACAGTCCTCCATCTCAGTCTAAATCCTCTTTTCTCAATCGGAGTCCGCGCCTCGCTCGCAACCGCAACCACAACATCACCAAACCTCCGCTCATACTCGGCATTATACCCCATCTGCCCATCTTTCAACCTCTACCATCCTACGCAAATCAGCTCAATCCACAATCGCAACCAGGAACCTCCCTTCTCTACATCCGCGACCATGTCCGCCGAATCTGCCTCCAACGAGAGCCAGTCGCAGCATCACCGCCAACCAGAAGAAGAGCAGGAGCAAGACCAAAACAAGCCTATCCTCGCGCTACCGGAGGCTCCCTCGGCGGAATCAGGAGCCACGCAGATTGACGTTAGTGGTGGAGGGTCGACGGTGAAGCTCGACGCTCTGGGTCCGCTGGTGGTTAACCAGGATGGAACGCTGTCGCGGATCGCAAACTGGGAGCAGATGACTGAGATCGAGAGGCGGAATACACTGCGTGTGCTCGGCAAACGGAATAAATTACGGTTAGATGCGTTGAAGGCGGCAGAGGGTGAGAAGGATGAGAGCAACTGATTGACTGCATACGGCTTTTGTCGATGCTATATCGGATGATACATTTCATGCCTATATTTGTACTATACTGTAGATTCTTCCCGGTGCTCGCAAGGTTCTTTGTACATTTCCTCACAACAGACATATCCTCATGCCAATCATAATATAATCGTGACAATACCCAGACATACAATGTTGCAACATCTAGGGCAGGCAGGTATATAACAGGTCGCCTAAGCGAAAAGCCAATCAGCGAACCTCGAGAGGGCGTTGCTAAAATCACAAATCAGCTGGCCAGCTCGCGAAGGTTCGGGGTCCGACAAGATCATCCTTACCTTGGTTTTTCGGGAATGTAGTTTCTCTCATACTCGTCGATCTCGTCGAGTCCTGTCACGAGATCCACTTCTTCCGGTTTCTTCGTCTTTGTGCGATTTACAATCTTCCAACCAAAGTACAGGGCTGGAAACACTCCAATCATCGTATAAGAGAAGAGGAAGGTCGGGATATCCCAATTCCCAGGCAGAAAGACAGTATAGCCGCCTACAAAGGCCATGACTGTCGTGGAAACCAGAGCAACATAGGCAGTATAGGGTTGCCACCAACTCTTGTATGGGAGCGATTCTCGTGGAATACCTTGGGCTATCATAGCTTTCCGAAAACGGGTATAGGTAAAGGTGACGACGGAAAAGTTGATAAGCTGAGAAGCAGTTACCTACCAACTGTTAGAGACTTGGTTTTCGAGATAGAAGTCAAGGTGATCCTAGTCTCGTAATCGACACGTACCAGATTAACGAACCAATCCAGGACGACAGATGCGCTGTTTGATACTTGGAGGAAGGCAAGAAGTGCAATCAACATGACAACTGAGACACAGTAAATCGGTACACCCCGCTTGGTGCACTTAGTGAACAATCGGGGTGCCTTGCCGTCCAGAGCAAGCCCGTACAGACTTCTGCTGGCGCAATAAACATAACTGTTCCCGGCACTGAAAGCTGCCAGCAGGATCATGGCGTTGACAATGTGGGGGAGGATAGGGATCCCGAGTCTGTCCATAGCGACAACATAAGGCGACGCAGCGGCGCCAGGCAGGCCCTTGGCGAAGGCTTCGGCCATAGTAGGATCATTGTAGGGGACGAGAATGCCGATACACAGTACACCCAAAACGAAGAAAGCTGTGAGTCGATAGAATATACCGTTATATGTCCTGGGCAAGATTCCGCGGGGGTTGGCTGCCTCTCCAGCTGCCATCGACACATAATCGGGTCCTGCAATGGTGAAACTGGCTTGGATCAGACATGCAAGGAAACCGAGCCATCGGCCAAGATCACCGATTTTGTAATACTCCGCAAAGGCGCCCGGCTCGTTCCAGTATCGGAACCCGAATCGATCTCCCTTCGGGTTCCCGCCCAGCATCACAATGAATGTGAAGATAATCAGTCCAATGCTGAGTAATACTTTCGAGAGCGCAAGCCAAAACTCGGATTCGCCGTACCATTGCACTGCAAAGACGTTGAGAAGTCTATAATTCTAGGAGTCAACATTCAGGCGATTCCAGATGGGCAGGGGCCTTTGCCGTTCAGAAGACGTTACGTACATGTAAAGGACAAGCACGATGACGATGACCCCGCTCACTGGAATAACGTCGCTCCAGTAGTTTATGATCATATTACACGCGGTGATCTCAAAGGGCACTAGGGCAGCCTCAAAGACGAAGAAGTTGTAGCCGGCGGCAACTCCAAAGGCTTCATCGACATAGCGGCCGGCAAATCGAATAAAGGGCGATGAAATCGGCAGGTAGGTGACCATCTCAGCCAGACCTAGGATGCAACCTGTATTTAGCACGGACTACATAGCCAAGGTCTCGTAGTGTAGAATAGCCAGGGAGTCGCAGGGGCAGCATGCAGGGAAACGGGAGATTGTCGCTTCAGGGCACTCAATGGTACGAATGAGAGCTGCATCGGGAGCACAGGTTGCAGGCGGCATTGCTGGGGACAGCAATTTGGGGGTTTGAAGACCGGGGTTGCGTACAAACAGTAATGGCCAGGATGACGAAACACCTAGAAGTGGATATGTATAAGATTCGATGGCTTGATAAAAGGGCAGTCAAGTAAGACGCGCGTGCGAAGTATGACATTGTTCTGCATTAAAGTGCAATTGGAGATCCTTAGGCTCTTCGTCGTATCTTCTCAAGATCAATTCGTTGTAACATCTCTGGTGTAGAGTCGCGCAAAATAAGTGTATCTTGCTCTCCTCTCTAACCAACTCACCCTACGGAGACACCTCAAGGCCAAGATCGCAGCAACAAAAGAGGCAAATGAAAACGAAAAGAGCTTATCAAATCAGGCATATAGCGTGCGTAGTACTTACCAAATCGAAAATGCCAGGAACAGGCTGCCAGGGCCACCCTTCATCAGACTTTTACCGACCTGGACATAGAGCGCTGTACCAATCGTAC